AACCCAACTTGCCTGTTTTCATTTTTTAGCATTGTCTCATCTGCTTTGTGAAGTATTTGCTGAGTAAGAATAAATAAATGATTCAAGCTTTGCCTTTCATTAGTGGTTTTTTTAGGTACACAGATTTCTTTCTCTACACGGAGGTGATGAAATACAAATATAAGTGCAAATTCATGTGTCCGACCTTTGCCTTTTACTTTCCTGATGTAACGTGTGCAGTATGAGCAAACTCACATGGTGCCACAATTCCCTTTCTCTGTGCCAGGCTGCCCACCAACCAGCTGTGCCTAAAGCAAGGGAGAAGCTCAAGAGTTGTCGAGCTTTGTGCCCAGGATTAAATGTAAATAAATAAATAAATAAAGGAACAACAGTAGTCATAATAATAATCTAGGTCTAGCTCTGGAGAGAAACTCACGTGACAAGTAAAAGTTTTGACTAGGTTAGCTAGTTGTTAGCTGCCTGCTGACAAAACTGAATGAGAACACCAGGTATTTGATAGGCAAGGACACTTCCAATTTTTTGTCAAACTGAACTTTCCGTAGTTTCAAGATGCATTTGAAGGAGATTGTCCTCAGAATTCAAGACATGGCAATAAAGGAATGAAACGGTCTATAACACATTGAACTGTTTTAAATCTTTCTTGTTTAGAGGGGAACAAAATATGTCAGTGTTTTCATTGAATACCTTCATCAATTTTTTAAATAGTCCTTATTTCCTTAGCAATGTTGCTTGAGGTGTTTTTTTTTCTTTTCCTTTTTTAATATTAATTATGTAATTGTGCTAACAAATATTTCCAGTATACAGCATGTCAGTTGTTTTCACTTTTTCCTTTGGAAGTATTACGAAAAATAAAGGAGGGCCTTCCATATCTCAGGTAGCTGGAATCCCTTTCCAAGTTTTAGGAAATGTTACGGTTTAAGAGATCACAGAAGACTTTACAAAGATACTTAAAGGGTCAGATAATCATGCCTCACCCCCCTGAGAAGAAAGCAACCCTAGCAATCCCTTTTGTAGATTAGAAGGGGGAAAAAGCACAACCAAGGTGAAGCCCTGATTCTGGCTGGGCAATAAGTGAGGTCATTTTAATCAATGAATTGATTTAAATATATATGATTTTGTGACATTATGTCTTTTCCAAAGGGAAGAGGGTATTGTCTGTTAATTTGTATGTCCTAACTGCTCCGTGTTTGTTGTATTTAAAAGTATCAATTTAGATCAAATGGACACCTGCAGTAGTTCTCAAATGGGAATAAAATTCTTATATATTAAAGCTGTTTCTTGTCATTCTAGTCCTGCTAAAAAATACATAAAGTAAGTGTCTTATTGCTTGGTATTGAAGGAAAAAACTAATATAGTTTCTTCAGTTCTAAAATGATTAACAAGTCATTACATACTAGTATGGAATTATACCTTGGAGAAGACACACACTAAAGACAATTATTTCTAAAATAATTTCTAGCCCCTTTCATAGAATTATAACAGATACAGTCATACACAGGGCTTTGGATAATGTGTTTAATGTTCTCGTAAATTGGAAAGAAACGCAAACGTTTTGTAAGTTAGAAACATTTGAGATGGAAGGAGAGTGTTGTTTATGGGAAAAGTGACACCATGGGTGGAGTAGGTGATTGGGAGGCTGCCAGAGGGAGTCTTGAAGATATTGAAAGGAAATTAATTTAGCCAGGAGTAGTGGAAGAGAATCAACCAATGGAAATATGTTACTGATGAGGTTATCAGAGAAATTTATAGTAATCAAAACCAAATCAGGGATCAAAACAAAGTCAGTGGTCAGAACAGAGTGGTCAAAACAGAAGCAAAGATGGACCCTCCAGTCAGATAACAATAGTCAAGAAGGGTAAGAGTGGAGGCAGCTTGGGATGAAAGCTAAACAGTTGTCTTTCCAATGCTAGAAGAGACCTAAGCTGGTAGCAAAACTTCTCAAAACAGTCAGGGGAAAAAAAAAAAAGTACAATTTGGTGATAGAAAGTGTTAATAGGAAGTCACAGAAACTTTGTAGTAAAATGACAGTCTCTGAAGAAGCTAACAGTGTTTGATTTTTCTTGTCCCCATTGCACAAGGCATGTATTTCAATGGGTAGTGGTATTTTTCTTTTTGCTAATACTCAGATTCAAAACAAACAAAACGAAAGCCTTATAGTTACTCACCCAAGAAAGAAATACAAAAATAACTTCATTATGCACAATGGCTCTGTCTTTCATGGATTAAAGACTTACTTTACAAAGTCTAGTGCCTGTTTAAAAAAAAAAAAAAGAACTTACTTGAAGGCTATACTGCAGGAGGTAATGCTCTTCTTTAAACAAGTAAGGTTTGTAATTACGTAGTTCATTCCAATTTCCACATCAGTCTTTCTAGGCCTTTTTGTGTAGAATAGTTGTGTTCTGGAACACCAACTTAGCTGATGTTTTGGGACATTTTTCTTCTATTCCCATCCAATGCTAGGAATACGAGATGCACAGTAGTTCCACGTGACAAATGTGTCTTGGTAATGGAATAATAAATGTGTGCCCCCAGTGTCAAGTATAATAAATATTTTCAGTTGGTCCCTATGATGATATCCCACGTGATTTCCAGCATAAAAGATATCTTTCAAGATATATCATGACACTACTATATGTGACTAAAACTTACAGGAAGTAGTGGTCGTCGCTGAATTTCTCACCATTGCTTTAAAAAAATAAATCCAAAGTAAGCTTTGTAGGTTAATACAGCTTTGTGTATTTCTTGTCTACGTAACTTTTCAGTGTCTTTTTTAGAGCAAATACCTAGGGGTATTAGTAAAAGTGATCCATCTCTGTGGGTTTCGTTTTTATGCAGCTTTCATTAACTGAATATAATGGAGTGTCCACAGAAAACTTTCAAGACATTCAGATAGTTTTTTAAGAGTATACATGATCTCTGAAATACAAAAATGCATCAAATTGAAAAAAGTTACAGGTTTCAGAACATAAATATGATTTTATAGAAGCCTATACTTGTACTAAGGTTCTTGGCTTCAGTATAATCATTAAAAGCAGCACAGGTTATGGTAATGTGCCTTCATGTCTTAATGCTAATTGGGCCCACTCAAGAATACATTTGGAGAACAAAAATAACTTTCATACCTAAGAAATATTAAAAATTAGAAGGATTAAATGGATCAGGTGTTGTGTCCAGGAAACAACCATGTTGACAGCAGGTCAAGGGAGCTGATCCTTCCTCTCTGCTCAGCACTTGTGAGGTCACACCTGGAGCACTGGGTCCAGTTCTGGGCTTCTCAGTACAAAAGAGATATGGACGGACTGTACAAAGTCCAATGAAGGGCCACAAAGAGGAGTAAGGGACTGGAGCGTCTCTCCTGTGAGGAAAGGGTGAGAGAGCTGGGACTGTTCAGCCTGGAGAAGAGAAGGCTCATATTTAATGTGTATCAATACCTGTAGGGAGGGTGCAAAGAGGAGAGACCCAGGCTCTGTTCAGTGGTGCCCAGTGACAGGACCAGAGGCAACAGGCACAAACTGAAACACAGGAGGCTCCATGTGAACACCAGGAAACACTTTTTCACTGTGAGGGTGACCGAGCACGGGCACAGGTTGCCCAGAGAGGCTGTGGAGTCTCCATCCTTGGAGATATTAAAAAACCATCTAGACACAGTCCTGGGCAACCAGCTCTATGTGTCCATGCTTGAGCAGGGGGGTTGGGCAAGATGACCTCCAAGGTCACTTCCTACCTCAACCATTCTGTGATTCTGTGAAACAAATGCCTTAAATTGCAATAGAGAGTTCCCACCTTCCCTGTTGCTTACTTACTTGCTCAGTGATGTTATCAGGTGGTATCTCAGCTTGGTATCTGACTGAGCCTGTACCTTCTAAAGAGAGTTGTAGAAGGTATCTAGATTCTGCTGGAAATGATTTTGGGATTCACTGAGTGTGCCGGACTGATGCTCTGGAAGAGCTGACACACATAGAATGCAATCTTGACTTGCTGGACAGAGAACGCATGTCCACCTAAGGAAACCCAGAAGGTATACCAGTTATATCAGTGAAACATGTACCCAGGCTGTTCTCGGATGTATATTATACCAGCATTGACTCTAAGCTTATTTAGCAGAGCTGACCTGACAAGCAGAAGGGCTGCGTAAGTTACACCCTCTTAATAGGGATAGCAGTGGCCACATACTCTCTAGACATACTGACTCCCAGGCCGTCCCTTGGGCTGCTCCGTCGTGCGTCATCTCTAGAGTAGGTCAGTGGCTGTAAAGCACATACTGATCTCCAGGGAGTTCACAGAAAACCCCGATCTCTCATACCGTTGAGAGCTCTCTTTAACTATCATCTCCATATCCTTCAAATCACCGTCTTATATGTGTAATTTGACTCTTTTTCAGGAATAACGCATGTTCCTGTCACATCTTTATAAATAATTATAACTTTAATAAATGGAAAGGGTAAGGAGAGACAGGACAATTTAAAAAAAATGGGAGGGAGGGAGTGTTTGGCTTCAGTGTGCAAATGACATATAATTTCCAACAACTTGAGGAGGAATAGTTATCTTGCCTTTAAGACTTGCTCATTTATTTTAAAAACATTATTTCTCAAAATTTAATTAGTGGTTTCAGAAGCTAAGTATAGAAAATTGCATAATGCCCTTTTAGACTTCGGTGACTAAGAGTGATCACATTAAATGAATATAGCATCCACGGAGTTTGCTAAAATATAATTTGTTCCATTGCGACAGTTTAAGTCTCTCCAACATTTGTTAGGCTAAAATGTAACATGCATACTTTTAAGGTGCAAATGTTATATTCCTTAAGATACAATAAGGAGATAAGAACCAACAGAACCCGATGCATCCTATCAAGGTTACTCTGGGAATAGAGTTAAAGAATTTGTGGTTTGTAAAACATACCCTTCTTCAAAAACATTTGTTTTTGAAATTTCACTTATGACTGTTCAAGGTGTCTCTTATGTTTATAAACAGCATTTTTCTTCCATTTTTTCCATCAGGTGCTTCATTCCAAATGCCTATGCTGCTCTCTTCACCGCTGCTCTGGTGCCATTAATGTGCTTGGTAGTGGTTTTTGTGGTGTTCATCCACGCCTACCAGGTGACGCCACAATGGAAAGCGTACGATGATATTTTCAGAGGAAGAACAAATGCTGCAGGTATGATTCGTTGACTACCCCTACGCAAACAAGTTGGACTTTCAGAACAGTACTGACTGTTCTCTCCAGTTCAGAAAACCCCACTAGAAACCACAGTTCAGTAGATACCTACGTGCTCATTTAAGATTAAGCATGCTAGTGGTTCCTTTGTAGTCTGTGAAAGTACTTTAATGATGAAAGTTATGCAGATGCTTAACTGTCTTAGGAGGATAAAAATGTGTTAAACCTAAACCAAGAAATTAGTATCACTGGTTATGTCTAGTCTAGTAAAGAGAATAGCGTCAAAACACAGCACCGCCCTGCTTGGAACACTGTGTCCCTGTGCCTGGTTTTGGCTGGGGGTATTGAACAGCCCTGTCCCGGGGAGGGCGGGGGCTGCTCAGGAGCAGCGATTGTGGGGGTGCAGGGGCAGCGATAACGTACGAACCCACACTGTGCTCCTCTGCGTGGCTCCAGGTGTTGGGCACAGCTCTTAGCCCTTGTGTTTTGCAGTATATTCGGTGGCTGCCCCGTCATGTGCCAGCTGCGTGTTGGAGTATTTGGAGTTAATGCCTCTGTTCTGAAATTTCCTAGCGCTACTTGCAACTGAAACGTGCTTGAAAGAAAAGATCTGTCTCATGCAAAACAGGAAGTATCAGTCAGTCTCCTCTGTCAGAACAATTCAAATACAATAATGTTCCCAAAATAAAGTTGCAGCAGTTTAGACAAATACCATAATAATAGGACACACTGTGGGAAGCTTAGAATAATTCTTTTATTTTCATGGTGTTTTTGGAAAAAAAACTGAGTTTTATAAACAAGTGCAAATATACAGATTTTTAATAGAAGTGTATCTATTTTCTCCCTGGCTGCATGAAGCCAGTTAGATTTTATAAACTTGCGAAAGATTCTTGAATCATTTTTCCCAATTCATTAAATAAATATCATCTGAACTTAAAAGGGACAGTGGATTATTAAAAAGTTCCACTGAGTATTCCAGTGCTTGTAATGTTCAGATTTATAAAGAGTAGCGGTCTTGTTCAAATGCTCAAATTTCCAGTGATAATTGTATTATGAAATGAGGGGTTGTGGGTTTTTTGAACATTTGGGTTATAGAAATATATTCCTTTTATGAGAAAATGAAAATAATATTAAATATTATCTGGACATTTCTTCAAGTATTAATTTCTTAGTGACAAAATGTCAGCTTGACTAAGAGCTATATGAATTTGGATAAGGTCTGATAAACATAGCTTATAAGTATGATACTCAAGACCTTACTTGCACTTTACCCTTTCATTTCTTTCTGATATAAAAGGGACTGCCTGGAGCAATCACAAAGGTGGCTCCTTATTCAGTCTTGAGTAATATAGTTTATTTATTTATAAATAACTTTTTTTCATTATCTTTAAGGATGGAGATTCCATATTCACATGTTGAAGGTTACGGCTTGTCTCCGAGCAGTTAAACCAAAGAAAAAAAAAACCTGAATATTGAAACAATACCATAAATAAAGCTGGCATGCAAAATGGCAGAAAGTACTAAGAGGAGTTATAATAATAGGGTTGAAACAAAACTTTGATTTAACATAGGATTCAGAGTGGTGTTTTTCTCCAATAGAGTCCAGAAAATGGTACAGAGAATGCTGAGGTCTCAGAAGAAAAGAAAGAAAAAATCAGGAAGAGAGGCATTCCATAACATGTCAATAATAGTGTGGGTTTTTTTAAAGCGGGTTGTAACTTCTGCTACTTGTGTGTCTTCATGGCAAGCTGATGTTTTGCTACCATAGGGCTTTTGCAAGCACAAATGAAAGTACCTCGTGCAGCGTGGGTCAGAGCAAGTTGGAGAGAGGCTGTTTTAGAGAAGAAAAAGAGCTGCCTGGTGAGGTTTATGGTGCCTCTGGTTCTATAAGGGCTCTCTGTGTAGCTGTGTTTATAGTGTAAGCTTCCAGAAAGAAAGGCCTGTGATTTCTCTAGTTTGTAACATTGCCTATAACTACATAACGTGGTATTTACTGTTAAAAAAAAGGCCTCTGACTTTCTGCCTGAATATTTCTGTCCTGAAATGTGAGATAGGGGTAGTATATTTATGTTATTTTTAATATTTTATGGGTATATTGTGCTTTTAAAGACATATTCAAAGGCAGTCTGCAGTGATAAGACCTATTACCACTTTCAAATTTTGAATCTTACCATATGACCCACTGTTTGGAGAAGATCACTCCACTGCCTCCATGTTCTTAACAAACTCAGTGGGACCTGCTCCTGCTTCAGTGCTGTTATTGCAACCACCACAGAGGATGCTGTGGGAAACACCATTTTTCATAATGACAGAAGTTGCCTGCAATCAGCTGCATGATAATATCTTGCTTCTGCAAGACAGAGGGGGTCCTGAATCACACTTGCACCACGTTCTGCCTTCAGTGTGACTTACAAGATCCTATGGGGTAGGGAGGTCTTTTAGCAACGTTGACTCCTTAAGTTGCACAGGCACCCATTATTTTGCTGTTTGTTACGGCACTAAATATGCCAAGGTTTCTCTCTGTTTCATCCAAAACCAGAGGAAAGGTGGAGCTACCAAGGAACAGTTGTCTATGTGTAGTGTCTTATTCTGGCTTGTCTCCAGCTCTCATCCCCTTATTGATTTCTTCCCTGTTTGGTCACCCACAACAATTAATTCCTACAGCAAAAAAAAACCCTTTCCCAGCCTCCAGCCTGAGGTTCAGTACCCAAACTTCCCCACTTTGAACAGTGCGATAAATAATGGAAAAAAAGAAAAAGAAAAAAAAATCACTGCTTTGGAGAACTGTCTGCTCTCCATTAGCTACCTTCTCTAGAAAGAGAATAAAATTGCAGGTGAATGACAGTGTAAACAGTTCTGACATATTGAGTGTAGAGAGCTGTAAACATATACAAAAATATTTTTAAATACACTTTTACTAGTAATCGTGGACACCTGTTCATTTAAATTCCAGAGAGCACAGAGTATTGCAGAAAGGAAAAAGTGGCATATGTAGACATGTAATTATCATTTATACATAGATATTCATACAAACACCTATTTGCATGTGAATATTTGAACTAGTAGTGTTTATTCCCCTTCTGGGAGTCATTCAGTTAGAAGATTCTGCAGTAATTCATGCAAAACACTACTGAATGTTGTCAATAAAAATAAAATAGCAAGGTCACTGGCTTGCATATTACCATAAAACAGAAGAAGGGGTTGGATACGCAGATTTGAAAGAAAAAAAAATTGTTATCTGGCTTCTAAATGTACATTCTTTAGGTCATTTCATAGATTGTAGGAAAAGCCTCTTAAACTACAGCTGGTAATTCTGAAGTTCCATATTTGGGATCTCTACTTGAGGAAGGCTATTACTAACTTTAAGAGAAATTAAGGAATATAAATGGTAAAGTTTATCCTCATTTGTAGTGTATACTGGGGTTTTTTTCCAAATAAATTGAATATGCAAGTGGATAAGCTAAAAATTAAGTCAAATTTTTTTCTTACTCTCTTTTCTCCTATTCCTGGAATACTCTGAAGCTTACCTTGCAAAGAAGGTTCATCTTGAACTATCCAGAATCAGAGAATCATGGAATGGTTTGGGTTAGAAGGGACCTTTAAAGATCATCCTGTCCAACCCCTCTGCCATGGGTAGGGACATCTTCAACTAGATCAGGTTGCTTAAAGCCCCATCCCACCTGAGCCTGAACACTTCCGTATATGGGATATTCACAACTTCACAACAGGGCAACCTGTTCCAGTGTCTCACCACCCTCATCATAAAAAATGTCTGCCTTATATCCATTCTAAATCTACTCTCTTTCAGTTTAAAACTGTTGCTCCTTGTCCTGTCATTACAGGCCCTGATAAAAAGTCTTTTTCCATCTTTCTTATAAGCCCTTTTTAAATACTGAAAGGCTGCACTAAGGTGTCCCCAGAGCCTTCTCTTCTCCAGGCTGAACAACCCCAACTCCCTCAGTCTTTCTTCACAGGTGGGTCGTACATCTCTCTGATCATTTTTGTGGCCCTCCTCTGGACTCGCTCCAACAGGTCCGTGTCTTTCCTGTGATGAGCTGTGCTGAGGGCTCCAGAACTGGATGCAGTACTCCAGGTGGGGTCTCACCAGAGCGGAGTAAAGGGCTATAATTGCCTGCCTCAACCTGCGGCCGCGCTTCTTGTCATGCAACCCAGGATACAATGGGCTTTCTGGGTTGCAAGTGCACATTGCCGGCTCATGTCCAGTTTTTCATCTGCCAATATCCAGAAGTCCTGCTCTGCAGGGCTGCTCACAATTCTTCATCTTCCCAGTCTGTACTGATGCTGGTGATTGCCCCATACTGGGTGCAGGACCAAGGCCACTTGGCCTTGTTGAACTTCATGAGGTTGACATGGGCCCACTTCTCCAGGCTGTCAGGGTCTCCCTGGATCACATCCCCTCCCTCAAGTATATCAACTACACCACTCAGCTTGGTATCATCCACAAACTTGCTGAGGGCGTGCTCAGTCCCACTGTCTATGTCATTGATAAAGATACTGGACAATACTCATCCCAGTACAGACCCCCACTTGTCACTGATCTGCATTTGGACATTGAGCTGTTGACTGCAATTCTTTGGATGTGGCTATCCAGCCAATTCCTTATCCATCAAGTAGTCCATCCGTCAAACCCATATCTCTCCAATTTAGAGAAAAGGATGTTGTGTGGGACCATGTCAAAGGCCCTAGAGTGGTCAAGATAGATGACATCAGTTGTTCTTCCCTTATCTACCAACGCAGACACTCCATCATAGAGGGCTACCAGATTAGTCTTCTACAGCTATTAGAACAAATTTTGTCTGCTGTAGTAAACGTCTTCCTGAACTTTAGTAGCAGTACTGTGTTTACTATTTTGTTCCGTCTGTAAGGGCAGAGAGTTTGTTGTTACCCATACTAAAGGGGACTCCCATGTATTTTTGTTACTAAGAGCAGGATAACAATGCTGGGTTTCACCATACATATCTAGGAGAAAAAATTTGCCC